CACCCGGTTTGTCCTCTCTTTGCGGCGTCCTTCAACTGTCATTTGGGACTCGTGTGTGCCGGTTTGATTCTGCTGCTACGTGTGTGTCGGTTTGGTTCTGCTGCTGCTGTGTTCTTTTTTTGACCTCGTCCACACCGAGTGGCCAACTTTGTTTGGCACGTGTTCAGACCAGCTACCACGCATCTCCTCCTCTACAGCTCGCGGCTTTCACTATCTGCATATCACAGGGGGTGTTCGCGTGTGGTTTGGAGACCACGACAGGGCGTAGTGAGGAGGGGCTCGCGATCGGCGACAACTCGCGTGCTAGTTCAAATATTCTGCTGCTTGCTGCTGTGTTCCGAGTGGTGGTGCATTTTTTTCTACTTCTTCATTTATTAACGCATACGGAGTGCTGACAACAACGATTCGCATCAACAACATCGCATCAACAACATTTCGGGTGTGTGTACCAAAACAAAAGCAACACATATTCACGGGGGGCGCACGACCCAGCCTACTGCAGGTACTTTCCGCAGCACGGGTTATGCTGTTGTGATGGTGCGCGCGGAAAAAACTCCCCCCACTCGGGGTCTAGTATGTAGTCACAACCATTTTTTTTATTTTCTTGCGCCTTTTTCCAGGTTCTTGCACGTATTGTACTGCGTCATATTTTCCTCCTGTAGTTCCGGGCTTGCGTTGTCTTCCATGCGCACCTATTGCTACTGCTGCTGCTGCTGCTGCTGCTGCTGCTGCTGCTGCTGCTGCGGCTGCTTTTTTGCTTACTCACGGTCTCTCCTCTGATCGATCAACGGGGCTCAAGAGAAGAACCAAGAGCCGTTTCTCCCACTGAAAGTGCTTTTGAACACATGCCTTCTCGCTCCCTCCTGTTTAGGTTGACGCGGGCGATGAACCCCACGTGGGGCAAAAGGAGAAAGATAACACCACCGCCGCGGACACAGCCGCAGCTCCCGCCGCCCCCGCCGCCCCCCTCCCCGGCATGGTTTTTGCGGAGCTGCACCAGCTTTTTCTGCAGCAGCGCCAGCAGCAGAGCCAGCAGAGGGAAGAACGGTACCAGCTACAGCACCAACCCGGTCTAGACCAAAACGGATCAGAAGCTGCTCTATCTACAGAAAAAGAGGTGCAGCAGCAACACCAGCAGCGTCGGCTGGAGAAACAGCTGCAGCAAGAGCAGCAGGCGGAGCAAGAGCGTTTTTTGCAGACAATGCTGCAGAAAATGCAGCAGCAGCAGACAAAGGTGCGTACATGTTGATTTATTTCCTTTGAGAGAGAGACTTCGTTTCTTTCTTTGATACACATAGCTCGTCGACACACTCCCCAAATCTTTCTTCCTCATCGTTCAGGCAGCGACCGAAGGCGGGGGAGGCTCTATGGAAAACGGGGAGGATGAGATGAGCCCGCCGGTGGAGCCTCGGCCGCCGCCGGAGAGGACGAGGGCGGAGTCGGTCATGCCCAAGCCGAGCCAGGGGACCAGGCGGGGGAGGGCGGTGTTCGTGAGCCCTAGCCCTGTCAAGGGCCGGCGGACTTGGGGCTGCTGTTTAACTGTGTGTACTAGCTCGCATGAGAGAGGAGAGAGGGAGAAGGAGGAGAGGCCCCAATTCTCGAGAGAACACGGGGACTCCGCACTTTCATCCAAAGCCTCTCAGCACATACCCTTCAAGTTGTCCCAGCTGCGTCCTACGGAACGGCTATTTTTCGACTATCCACTTCTACGCACGAACACCCTCCCTGGTTCTTTACGGCAGTGAAGAACCTCTAGTGCGTCGAAAATACGTCCGAAAAACCGAAACACAACGACAAAACAAAAGTAACTGGGAAACCCGGCCACCGGATCAAAACCCCTCAGAAATTCAACGCCTCACGCCGATCATATCACGAAAGATTCCAACGGCTCAAACAAAATCCAATAGCTGTCCATATCACCAATGATTCCAACGGCCGTACTGCAAGAAGACAAAGATAAAACCACTCCAGACGCTCGGATTACAAATTCTAGGCAACGCTCTACTACCTCGAGCAACGCNACAAAAGTAACTGGGAAACCCGGCCACCGGATCAAAACCCCTCAGAAATTCAACGCCTCAC